TGACTTATTTCATTCACTAGCAGATCATATAAGTTGTATAAAATACTTTTCCATTTTGTTGATTCATAAGCACCTGTAATCAAAAAAAATAAAAATTTACATATACGTATACTCTACTGTTAACTTACACATTGACCTGGCAAGGTGGAAACATAAATTCAGGACTAATGCCTCTTCTACATCCCTCACAAGCTCTACTTTATAACCTTTTCCACTCCACACTCAGGTAAGCTGCAGTATTTGTTATAAAGTTCTTCTGTTATGGTCCAAAATCGTTCTCCAATTTTTTTCTCCCTCACAAGGCAAATGGAGTTAGTATGCTCTTTTTCAGATGAGAACCAATTTCTCTATATGTCTTTTTTCATGTTAATAGAAAAAGCTAGCAGTTTTTTAAAAACTAGTATACAGATGATACGTATTCAGATTAATAATCCTTCTTAATTAAAATGCCAAGTATACAAAATGTGGTTAACATACAATCTCTGGTCAACATACAATCTCTGGTCAGGCCAATATAGGGAGCACTAGAACTGTTACTTCCCATAAACAGGGTACCACATATCAATTAATGTAACTTAAAAATACATTAGCCTTTCTGGCTGTCTCAACTATCAAATTATCTAAATGTTTTGTTAAAACACTTCACATTTCACTAAAAAAAAATTCATTGCTAGTGAGTTGATGTCAAATCATAATGCTCCTATAGGACAGGGTAGAACTGCCACTTTGAATTTCCAAGATTATAACTTTTTACAGGAATACAAAACCCAGTCTTTCCCCTTTGGAGTCACTGGTGGAGTCAAACTGCCGACCGTGTGGATCGCAGCCTAATGAGTAACATTTCATATCAACTCCTAACCTAAGTATTTCCTAATCTTCACCCTGCTGAGAGAGCTATGTGAAAGACAAAAATATGAAAAGCAATCATTGTTTGAGTTATACTAGTTTTGTTGCTGCATTCAATGTTTTTTTTCCTACTGTTTCAGCTATTACTCAATGTCATGCTATTTTAATCTGCCTATTAAGCAAGCCATGATAAACTGCCCCAAGGGTTAGGAATAGCCCAAAGTAAACTGTAGTCAG